ATGCCAGAACACAACAATCTGGTAACATAGGCGTCTGGATGCTTGCTAATGGCATGACTACGGATGTCCAAGAAGCAGTCATTAAAAAAGTCATATGCAGCATCATCTATGATTCGATAACCTAATTGGATTCGGGATTCCCTGATGTCATCTCTCCAAATGAAAGTGTCAATGTGCCATGGCCTCCCCGTTAAACTCTCCAAAGGGAAGGGGGCAGTTGTTTATACTTTTCTTTTCATTCATTGTCTTTAATACTCAAATTTACTGCATGATATGGAAAAGTGTACAGCCTGCTTGGTTGTATGTTTGTTTCATATGTAATCAATCAATTTAAATTAATCTATATCAGCTGAGTAGGTTAGTGCATGATCTCAGTGCTGTCCAGTTATAACCAAGAGAAATCAGCTACAGAAAAAGGGGAATGCCACCGACTGTTGGTCCACACACAGGACATAATGAAAGCAATGGAGCTAGCAAAACGCTGTTCTCTTTTTCCCGCAAAACCATTCATTGTATCATCATATGAATCTTAGTTGTCTTCATCATACAAGAGAAAAACATTATGTTACAAAACTCCAGATCATGTCCGGCACTTTAAACTCCAGACGTCGACGTTGGCCTTTAGTTGCAAAAGTTTTTGCAGGAACGTCTAAGGAAACACTAGATTACTATTCAAAATAACTAAACTTAAGAAAACATCAAGGTCTAAGAAGGGCTCTGATGGTTATGGATCCCTTCATAAGTTGTAATCACATAACTTGGATCCTCTCTATCTCTTTCAACCCTTTTCTTCACGGGACACCCTTCTACAGAACATCTATAATAATTCCTGTTAATCACAGCACAAATTCGAAGAATAAGCAGACAGAATCATAGAAAAACAGGGAGAAAAAAGAAAAGAAAAGAAAAAAACAACCCTTTTTTCTTCTTCTTGAACTAGTTTTAATTTGTTGTTATTTATACCTTGGATTTGGGCTGTTCTTCACCCTCTTCTTCCCATATTTCCTCCACTTGTATCCATCATCCAGTATCTCAATCTCCGACTTTGTCTTAAATGCAAATCTTTCCCTTACTTCCTTCTCCTTCCTTCCTCCTTCACTTTCTGCTGCATGAAAAACCAGACGAGGAGAAATTATACAGAGAATGGAAACTTCCAGAAGTTTAAGTAATGAGTTTTCTTACGGTTACTAGGTCCTGCAAAGGGCTGGCTGCTGCTACCTCCAGCCTCACTAACTTCATTTGCTTGGTTAACCGGATTCGCAACAAACCCGGAACTGAATTCAGATGCCTGATAATCCTCCCACCAGCCATCAAACATCAAGTAGTCGGCCGGGAGCTCGAAATTGGAGTCATCACCATGTTCAGTTTCTGGTGAGTCCGGTGGCCTAGGATCGTTATTAGACATATGGAAGTTGAAACCTAGGCCTAAGCTAATCCTGTTTTAAGCCTTCAATTGTTTTATACCCAAGCTGGCCAGCTGGCTTAGCCAGTAAGGCAGTTTCGCCATGAGCTTCCTCTGAACTTACAGGAAGCTTCAATGCTAATGCTAATTGCCTAAAACACCTATCAAGAAACTTAAAAATGATGGGGCATACCAAGGATGACTTTAAAATATTGACTCCTGAAAATATATTGTTCCTGTGTGAACCAGCATTTGGAGCTCGTGGTGAGACCAACCCCTTGACAACGTATTGAAATAAAGACAGTCAAAAGGCGGATTATATGCCATGTTAAAAAATATCTATGGAGGAGAGGGACATTATCCTTACTATCCATGCATTTTCCCCCCCTCTATTCTCTTTCCTTTCAATTTCCTCAATCCAAATATGTTTTTGCTACTTCATATTTTTTTAAATAACAATTTTCTTTAATCCTTTTACGACAAATTGAGTATTCTCTATCTTTAATTGTTTGTCAATATAATTAATTTACAATTAATACTTTAGATAAAATTTTTATATATAATATATGAGTGATAATTAAAAATATTTTTTAACTAAATAAAATTATTTTAAACAATTACATATTAAAACTTAAAAAAATTAATTTTTATTAATATACTATATAAAAATATTATTTAAAATAAATAGCAAGTTTGAAAAAGAGGAGGTACAAAACCTAAACTGGGTTGAACCTTTGGAAGATCAAATTGAATTACGTGAATCCCAGGTCTCATAATTTTATGCTTTTTTAATATATATATATAATAATAATTAAAACTTAAAAAAATTAATTTTTATTAATATACTACATTAAAATATTATTTAAAATAAATCGCAAGTTTGAAAAAGAGGAGGTAGAAAACCTAAACTGGGTTGAACCTTTGGAAGATCAAATTGAAT